CCAGGCGTGGTGGTGGGTGCCTGTAATCCCAGCTACCCAGGAAGCTGAGGCAGAAGAATCGCTGGAACCCGGGAAGCAAAGGGTGCAGTGAGCCAAGATAGAGTCACTGCACTGCAGCCGGGGAACTCTGTGTCCATTAAAAATAAAAATAAAAGGCCGGGCGCGGTGGCTCAAGCCTGTAATCCCAGCACTTTGGGAGGCCGAGGCGGGTGGATCACAAGGTCAAGAGATCGAGACCAACCTGGTCAACATGGTGAAACCCCGTCTCTACTAAAAATACAAAAAAATTAGCTGGGCATGGTGGCGTGTGCCTGTAATCCCAGCTACTCAGGAGGCTGAGGCAGGAGAATTGCCTGAACCCAGGAGGCGGAGGTTGCGGTGAGCCGAGATCGCGCCATTGCACTCCAGCCTGGGTAACAAGAGTGAAACTCTGTCTCAAAATAAATAAATAAATAAATAAAAATAAAAAAGAGAGGAAAAAGGAAAAAAAATAATGACAATGATTGTCAGCACTTACTGCACATTTACTATGTGCCAGGCACAGTTTAAAGCACTTCACTGGCCGGGCGTGGTGGCTCACAACTGTAATCCCTACACTCTGGGAGGTTGAGTCGGGCAGACAACTTGAGGTCAGGAGTTTCAGACCCGCCTGGCCAACATGGTGAAAGCCCATCTCTACTAAAAATACAAAAAATTAACTGGGCGTGGTGGTGGGTGCCTGTAATCCCAGCTACACAGGAGGCTGAGGTAGGAGAATGTCTTGAACCCTGGAGGTGGCAGTAAGCTGAGATTGTGTCACTGCACTCCAGCCTGGGCAACAGAGCAAGACTTCATCTCAAAAATAAAAATAAAAAAAAGGAAAAGAAAAAAAGCACTTCACTTATGTTAACAAAAATGAGGTTTAGAGGGTATCATGTTGGTGAAAGAATCAAAAAGAGAATAGCTCCAATGAGTGAACATTCTTAGTATTTACTTATTGTTGCCAGGCTATTCCAGTTTAATATATTAACTCATTTTATTTTCCATTTTCTTTCTTTTTTTTTTTTTTTGAGATGGAGTCTTGCTCTGTCACCAGGCTGGAGTGCAGTGGCTTGATCCCAGCTCACTGCAACCTCTGACTCCCGGGTTCAAGTGGTTCTCAGCCTCCTGAGTAGCTGGGAATACAGGCGTGCACCATGACACTCAGCTAATTTTTGTATTTTTAGTAGAGACAGGTTTCTCCATGTTGACCAGGATGGTCTCAGTCTCGTGATCCATCCTCCTTGGCCTCCCAAAGTGCTGGGATTACAGGTGTGAGTCACTGCACCTGGACTATTTTCCTCATTTTACAAAGGAAGAAAATGGGGTAGGGAGATGTTTTATGGTGACCAATTGCCCTGGTTTGCCTGGGACTCAGAAGTTTCTTAAAATGTAGTACTTTTTCTTTTCTTTTTTCTTTTGAGGTGAGTATTGCTCTGTCACCCAGGCTAGAGTGCAGTGATGCGATCTCAGCTCACTGCAACCTCGGCCTCCTGGGTTTTAGCAATTCTCCTGCCTCAGCCTCCTAAGCAGCTGGGACTACAGGCACATATCACTGTGCCCAGTTAATTTTCTGTATTTTCAATATTGACAGGGTTTCACCATGTTGGCCAGGCTGGTCTAGAACTCCTGACCTCAGGTGATTCCTCCCGCCTTGGCCTCCTAAAGTGCTGGGTTTACAGGTATGAGCTACCGCAATAATGTTATACTTTTTTTTTTTTTTTTTTTGAGACGGAGTTTCGCCCTTGTTACCCAGGCTGGAGTGCAATGGCGCGATCTCGGTTCACCGCAACCTCCGCCACCTGGGATCAAGCAATTCTCCTGCCTCAGCCTCCTGAGTAGCTGGGATTACAGGCACGTGCCACCATGCCCAGCTAATTTTTTGCACTTTTTAGTAGAGACGGGGTTTCACCATGTTGACCAGGATGGTCTCGATCTCTCGACCTCGTGATCCACCCGCCTCGGCCTCCCAAAGTGCTGGGATTACAGGCTTGAGCCACCGCGCCCGGCTATGTTATACTTTTAATGCTGAAATCAGGACAATGCCAGGCAAACTTGGACAACTGGTCAACCTAGCTGTTAAGTTACTTGCCATAAATCGCAGTTATTAAGTGGCAGAGCCTGTATTCAAATCCAGGTGGGCTGACTTCAGACTCAAATGGTTTGCTTTGGCCATTGGTTCCCAATCCTGAGCATGCAGCGGAGGTCCTGAAGGCCTTATTAAAACTCAGATAGCCCCATCTTCAAGGTCTCCAATTCAGTAGGTTGGGGTGGCCCAGAATTTGCCAAACAAGCTCGCTGGTGATGCTGACACTGGTGGTTTGGGAACCAACTTAGAAGACCCCTGTGTTCGCCTTTCTCACCCCCTGATAAGGACTTTTTAACTTTTGTGAGACAAGGTCTCAGTCTCTCACTCAGTCTGAAATACAGCCTAGGATTATGGATCACTGCAACGTCAAACCCTTGGGCTCAGGCAATCCCCAGCCTCAGATATACAAATAAACATATTAGAGGCCAGGTGTGGTGGTTCATGCCTGTAATCCTAGCACTTTGGGAGGCTGAGGGCCGCTGGTTGCTAATTTTTATGGTTATTTCTTGATGCTATGCTGCACAAGGGCTGGATTACTCATGCCTTCCCTTTTTAGACCATGCAGGGTAACTTGCCGATGTTGCCATGGCGTTTATGATCTGTCATGGCGCTGGGGGGAGTGCAGCAGTGAGGGCGACCAGAGGCCATTCTCATTGCCATCTTGGTTTTGGTGGGTTCGGGGAGGTTTCTTTACTACAACCTGTTTTATCAGCAAGGTCTCTCTGACCTGTGTCTTGTGCCGACCTCCTGTCTCATCCTGTGACTTAGAATGCCTTTACCGTCTGGGAATGCAGCCCAGGAAGTCTCAGCCCATTTTACCCAGGGCCCACTCAAGATGGAGTTGCTCCGGTTTACATGCCTCTGAGGGACGCTAAACATAGGTAGGGGCTTTCAAAGAAGCAGCTCCAATGCCCACGGCCCGCCTCCCCGCCCCCCTGCCGCCTCACTCTCCTGATAGATGTAGGGCACCATGGACTACCATGCAGAGGCGGAGGCAGAGGAGAGCCTGGCGGAGTGAATGACCGGCAAGGGAGGCTGGCTGCAGGGGAGCGGGAGTGAGGGCGGCCCCGGCCCAGCCCTGCGGGAACCGCAGGAGGAGATGAGTCAGCCAAGAGCTGGCAGCTGCCGAAGAGGCCCAGTACTCCCCAGCTTCCCAGCCTCTCGCACCCCACGCGGATCCCTGCCCCGAAGCTGATTCAGGGAGCCAAAGCTTCGGGCGGGGCGGACCGCGGCAGGGACTGAAGGCTCCCCAGTTTCTCTGCGTGTGGCCTGCGGACCCCCTCGGGAGCAGGTCGTCCAGCACCCGGTGTCTGCCGCGGTCCCCAAGGACACATGCGCTTGCCCCACTCACGATGGCACGTCCAGTCCCCAACCAGCCGTGGGTCGGGATGGGAGGGTCTTGGTCCAGCCGCCCTGCCCGTGCTGCCCCCACCGCGCTCCTGGGCCACCCGCCTCCTGCGGCCAAGCGCCCCCAGCCGAGGGGAGGGCCACGGGTCCGGGAGGAGGAGGCACGGCCATTGGCTGACTTGGGGACCAGACCGAGCTGGAAAGCAGTCAGTAAGGCCTGGCCCTCGCAGGTGACCTTGTGCCAATGCCCGGAGTGGGGTTCAGCGCCTTCGAGGGGGTAGAGAGGGCCGGGGGCATCGATGTGATCGCCCGCCTAGGTCCTCACTGAGCCAGGACGCAGGACAGCCGCCTGCACCTGCTTAGACAGGCAAAGCCCTGGGAAGCCATGGGAGCGGGAAGGAGTGGGCTGGCGCGGGGGCGCGCACTGTAACCCCAGCACATTGGGAGACCCAGGCGGGCGGATTGCCTGAGCCCAGGAGTAAGAGGCCAGTCTGGGCAACATGGTGCAACCCTGTTTCTACAAAAACCACAAAAATTGGTGGGGCGTGGTGGTGCGGAGTTGTGGTTCCAGCTACTTGGGAGGCTGAGGCCCGAGGATCCCCTGAGCCTGGGAGTTCGAGCCTGCAGTGAAGCCTGACTACATCCCCGCATTCCAGCGTGGGCGACAGAGTAAGTCCCTGTCTCAGAAAAAACAAAACAAAACAAAACAAAAATGCCAGGCATGGTGGCTCATGACTGTAATCCCAGTATGTTGGGAGGCTGAGGCAGGCAGATTACAAGGTCAGAAGACAGAACATCCTGGCTAACAGGGTCAAAACCCATCTCTACTAAAAATAGAAAAAATTAGCCAGGCCTGGTGGCAAGTGCCTGCAGTCCCAGCTACTCAGGAGGCTGAGGCAGGAGAATCTCTTGAACCCGGGAGGTTGCAGTGAGCCAAGATCCTGCCACTGCACTCCAGCCTGGATGACAGAGCAAGACTGTCTTAAAAAAAAAAAAAAAAAAAAAAAAACAGACTCACTGGATTAGACTCCCAGCTGTGTGATCTTGTGCAAATGACTCCATCTCTCTGTGCCTTCATTTCTTCAGCTGTAAACTGAGGTAGTGATAACGCCTTGTGGATGAGGAACGCCAGGGTGTGAGTTAATAGGTGTCAAAAATAAAGTGCCCGACACAGGTACCCACTGGCTGTGACATTTGAGGAGCTGGACGAGGGAGCCGGGAAGCCCAGATTCTGACCACCATGGCAATGACACTCCACCAGTGGGAGCAAGACACACTTGTGGTCTCCCAGACGTTCAGAGCAGCTTCAATTAATACCCTGCTTGCCTGGGACCTAGCCATGAGAACTGTCCCTTACTGAGGCAAAATCTGGTCTCCCTCTTCCTGGGGAGCCCCAAAACTTCCGGAGACTGTCCTGCACTATGAGGGCAACCAGGAAAGGGAATTGGTGGGTGGAGGCCGCCACAGTGAAGCCTCAGGCCCCCTCTGGTCTCTCCAGGGTCGTCCTGGGTCATCTGAACTCCCCTTCGAAACGAGCACACGCAGGTTCAGCTGATTCATAACTTAGTTTAATGCCCTGTGGGGTTCATGCCACAGGGAAGCTCCACTGCCCCAGAGGGTCTGTGCCAGGTGGAAGAAAGCAGTCTTTCTGGACCGCTGGCCACAACTTCTGCTTTGGTGCCCCTCATTGAAGCCCATCTTCTTGATCAAAAGCAGCGAAGGGCCCCAGCTTCTAACCTTTAGTCCCTGTCCCTCACTGGCCTCTCTGCCTCTCTCTGCCCAACTTCTGGCACTGTGCAAGGTCTGAGACCTCTTTGGACCTGAGGCATGTGGTCTTAGCCTGGCCCTTGTTCCAGACAGGTGGGCAGACAAGTAAGCAGAGCCAGTGCACCCAGGGCAGGCGAGGGAGCTGTGCGGCCAGGCCTCAGGGTTCTAAGCCCCACCGGGAGATGTGCTCCTGAGCTAGAAGGAAGCAGAAGAGAGCGGGGCTTGGTGGCAGCCCGGGCAGTTCCGAGACAGAGGCCTGCAGCACTCGGTCTGGAAGTGCCCATGGCCGTGGTCCCCGTGGCACTCCAGACCTTCCTAGCAGGGGCTGCTGGGAGCTGGTGCTGGGCAACATTTCACTTCTGCCTCCACCGTAGTTCATGGGGCTCCCAGAACCCGACAGGTTCCCAGGCAGCAGCTTTCATGATGGGGAGAGGGTCCTTGGAGGAATGCCCCACAGAGCTGCAGCTTTAGTCCTGCCTGCGTGGCCTTGCTGCGTGGTGCTGAGCCCTTATTTGCCCCTCTGGGCTCAGGAGGCCACAGGTACAAGGCCCTGAGCAGGCCATCTCCCATGGCCTGTGTGCCCAGACCCACTTGGAACCTGCCATATAGATACCCTTGAAGGCTGGACCAGGCCAGCAGTATGCCCAGGGACAGGGATCAGAGAAGGGGAGCCTCAGGAAGACCCTCACCAAACTGGCAGATGTAACGGTTTCGGGTTTTGCAGCGCTGGTCGTTCCAGTTGAAGGCAGCTGACGCCTGCAGCTCCACGCAGTTGCCAAACCTGTGGGCCAGGGAGCGGTGCTCAGGAGGGAGGAGTGCAGTCCAGGCTCCGGAAGAGACCTAAGCCCTCCACCCATCAGGCCCCCCGCATCTCAGAGGCCACGGTGCCCCCACCTGCAGATGGGGCTGCTGGGAGCCAGGCCCTCCCTGATCCCCTAACCCTGCTCCCCAGACCCCTTCTCAGAGAAGCCTTTTCTGGAGTAACAGCTCCGCCTACCCCATGGCAGCACACAGCCACACCAGCCGATGGGGACGTGGGGACTCCAATAGACAGCCCCACGTGACAGGTGTACCTGGTACCCCAACAAGGCTTGGACTTCCTCCAGGTGACAGGCCAGGGGCACAGGCTGGCTGCCAGTAAGGAGGGCTGGCTGAAATCGCTGGAGCCCTTGGTGGCTTTGCAGCCGGACCACCTCCACCCCAGCCCTGGGCATTCCTGGGCTTTGAAGGCAGGGCAGGGCCCCATGAGCAGAGGATTCTTGGTACCGGATGGCTGGAGGGTCAGCAGGTGTGGGGTTGTGTTATGAATGAGTGCAGGGGGGTGACAACTAAGGAATGCTGGTGTCATTGTAACTGATGCAGGCACAGGTGGGGACATGGAGGGAGGGGTGAGTGGGTGAGAGTTGGAGGGATGGAGTCACAGCCTGGGGACACTGGGGACAGACAGATGGATGGAGACTTCCTGGGTCCCTCTCTCCCACGTGACATGCCTTCTGGCTTACATCACCCTCACCCCAGTGCTGGCCAACACCAGCTGTGCCCAGTAATCTCTGGCACCTGGGCAGGCACCAGGGAAGGCCCAGACCCTCAGGCAGCGGGATGGGGGGCTCTTCAGTGTAGCCAGGGGCCCACCAGGCATGCCTAAGTGAGAAGGGGACCCAGGGGAGGCAGGCACCCCACACTTACCCCTGGTTGTCAGGCTGCCCGAAGGCAAAACTGGTGAAGGCCTGGTGCTCCCCTGTGGCCCAGCGGAAGGAGTCCTTGGCAGTCTTGTAGGTGAGCCCTGGGCCAGGGTAGTTGAGGTTGGCCCATGACCTGAGGTCTCCTGGCCCACTCAGAGCCTGGAGTCTGCTGCCAGCTGCCTCTCTGGCCCTTCTTCCCAGCACTGCCAGCCCCATGTGCTCCCCACCTGGGGCCTCCCTGGGAATGAGGATGAGCAGCCAGCCCCTCTCTGGGCTCCAGGCCCTCACCACACCCTCACCCCTCGCCATCTGCTGGTGGCTGCCATGGCCCCAGGTTCCTGCAGCAGAGTGGGGCATCGTGACCCCTTACTCAAAGCACCCCTGTCAGCTGGGCACTCACCGATCCAGAAGTTCCTGGTCTCAAAGTCACTGTCGGTCACCTCGTTGGTGGTTTCCAGGCGGCCCAGATAGAAGGCAAGGATGTCCTGCACTTTCTGGCTCTCGATCTGGGCCAGCACCCCACCTTTTCTCTGCAATCCCCACCCGGGTCACACAGGCTGGGCTCCCAGAACCCAAGCTGCCCCTTCCTGCCACCCCTGCCCATGGCCGACGATGCCATGTGTAGGTGCTGGCCAGGCTACCATCACCCCCAAGATGCACAGCCTCCCTTCCAAGAGCAGGATCCCTTCTGCTCCCTGGCTGCTGCTTCTCTTCTTCCTGTGCACACGGACCCACCTGGCAGCCCACAGGTCAGGCAGGGTCTGGCCCCTGAGGAGGTTGTTTCACCTGCACAGTGTCTTAAATATATCCAGGTTGATTGCCGACCCCAATAATTAATTGTGGTTTCTAGGGTTGCCAGTGGAAGTATGGGTCACTGGTTTTCTTCAGTAAACCTGAGCTGTGGCCACCCTGACCTTGCATTCCTGCAAGGCAACCAGTGACTGGAACTCCCTTAGATGGAGGTTGGCCTTGACCTTGGCCCCTTAAGTCAATAAGTGACCTCCTGGCTTCTATGAGCCTCAGAGTCCATGGCCCCTGTTTGTGCTGATGAGGAGGATGAGGTCAGAGATGTTGAAGGGACCATCTCTCACTCCAGCGTCCCTCCATTAAGGGACAGTGTCCCTCCATTAAGACCCTCACTTGAGGCCCACGGGGGGTCCCTGGGAAGGTAGGGTGACCATCACCTGGCATTTCATCCTGGCTCTGTAATAGGTGTCTGCCTCTGAAGACACCATGAAGCAGTCTCCGTCGATCCTCAGGTCACAGGTGTGGAAGGGAAAGTGCACCTTGGCTGGGGTAGGGAGCCTGAGTTTGTGTGTGAACTTCAGAATCCCTGCCCTTTCCTGCCCTGCCGGGGAGCTAAGCTCAGAGTGCCCCTTCTTTTGGCCACCTGCTCCAAAAGAGTGGGTGGTGAGAGTCTGGAGTGTGCTGGTAAATGTGGAACACCAAGCTCTCTCTCAAAAGAAAAAAAGTCCATGGTTTGTAGCATTTGCCAATTTCTTTGGTGTAAATATCCATGCTGTGGCCAGTTTCAAGCTCCCAACGTGTTGTCACTGAATGAGTTGGAAAGAGAGGCACACAGTGGGGCTCCTGGGAGCTGATGCCCCATTAAAGGGGTTCTTGGGAGGGGCTAGCTCTTCGGGGGCCCTGGGGCAGGACTCACTGGCACACTGGGATCCCGTGTAGCCGATGTCACAGATGCATGAACACTCCTCCTCCCGGAACCGGCCGTGCACACACTGTAGGCTGCACCGCACTGCCAGGGCAGGACAGGGGGGCAGAGGCTCAGCCCCCAGCCTCCTGGACCCCATGCTGCACCCCACAGGCCTCAAACTTCAGGGAATGCCAGCCACAGCAAGCATACCCCTCCCAGAGGCAGAACCCAGCAAGGCTTCTGATTGCTGTCACCCCTGGTGTCTTTTGTTTGATCCCCATTGTAGAGTGACACAAATTGGGGTTTGGGAGGTTACCTGCCTATGGTCACAGAGTGGGTTAGGGTGGAGGTTAGGATCCAGAGTGGGACAAGAATCCACTTCTGGATCCTAATGCTGTCCTCTTCCTCAGTCTAAGCATCCGAACCTGATTTCACTGTGAATCTCCTGCACAACTCAGGGTCTGGCAAACAGCTAGTGGTCAGTAAAGTCTTGTTGAATGAATGTAAGCAGTGGGCAGACTCAGCGAGTGCATGGTCAGCACCCCTACACCCTTGAGACTCTCAGGAAGTGTGGCAGCCCCAGGACCCAGAGTGAGAGCAGGGCTTGGCACACCCAGGCTCCAGTGTCCTCACCTTGGCAGTATCTGCCCGTGTAGCCAGGGGGACAGTGGCAGTGGCAGGTGCTGATGTTGAGACGTCCGTGGTTCCGGCAGCTCATGCGACACGGGTTCCTGGGGACCTCTGGTCAGAGGAGGAGGGGACTCCAAGAAGGTTTCCTCCCAGCAGGAGCCTCCCTGGGTGCTAAGGGCCAGGGCTTCTGGGACAACCAGGGAGGATGCTGTCACCCACCCAGGGTCACCAGACTGGGCCCTCATGCACTCACCACAGAGGCCCCCTGCGTGGTCCCAGGCTTTGAAGCAGCCTGAGATGCTGGCCGTGCAGAGCGAACACCAGGCACCCTTCTTATAGGGGACTATTGTCTTCCCGTTGACCTCCCAGTTCCCTCTGTGAGGATGAGCAAGCACCACAGGGTGTGGGAGGGCCTGGCCTTGGGCAAGGCAGTGGCAGGCCCTGCTGCCTGACCCTCTTGCTCCTTCAGCTCCTGTGGCCCAGCCAGAGAGTCAGGGAGCTGGGTGAGATAGGGTGATTCCCTGGGAGAGAAGAGATGATCTCCAAAAGAATCCTGGGCAAACTCCCTGATACTGGGACCAGCATCCAGGAAGGGGCATCTGCAGATCAGCACCTTCTATGTGGCCAGAATCTTCAGCACCCTCTGCCTTTCTTCTCCTTCCCTCCCCCAGCAAGGGTGCAGAGCAAGGTATCAGGGACTTTCAGGTGGGTGGGTGAGCATCTTACCCTGGGTGAAAGCATCCCTCCTCACCTCCCCAACAGTCCAGCAGGGGATAGCAGGGCTTACCCAGGAGAGTAGGCACAAACAAAGGCTTCCATCACTGCCCGGCCTGCAGAGCACAGGTGCCGCCCACAGCCCAGCTGGCTCGAGGTGGCCCACACGAGCTACAGGAGACACAGGAGCTCAGAAACACTATCATTGACTACCCCTGGGGAGGGGTACACAGCTTTTGCCATCATCCAGGCAGACAGAAGGCTCCCTCACCTCCTCCTCAAGGACTCAGGAGCAGCAGCTGTCCTGGGCAGGGCTAGAAGCATGGATGGGAATAGTCCAGGAAGGCTTTCTTAGTTGAGAGAGGGATGGAGAAGGGAGTACTAGCAGGTATCTGAAGGCAGGGGAGACTGTTGATGGGTAGAGGGGAGTAGCCAAAAAAAGACTGGGACCTCAAGGGCCTCGTGACTGCATGCTGACTACAACCCTTCACTTCTTGCTCTAGCCTACTCTTCTAAATGTGACTTTGCAGGTTTTTTTTTTTTTTTTTTTTAGACGGAGTTTCACTCTTGTTACCCAGGCTGGAGTGCAATGGCGCGATCTCGGCTCACTGCAACCTCCGCCTCCTGGGTTCAGGCAATTCTCCTGTCTCAGCCTCCTGAGTAGCTGGGATTACAGGCATGTGCCACCATGCCCAGCTAATTTTTTGTATTTTTAGTAGAGACGGGGTTTCACCATGTTGACCAGGATGGTCTCGATCTCTTGACCTCGTGATCCACCCGCCTCGGCCTCCCAAAGTGCTGGGATTACAGGCTTGAGCCACCGCGCCCAGCCTAGAGGCTTTTTTGCACAGCCAGTTCCCAGCTGGCTCCCTAATTGATTACAGGTGCTTGAGTGGACCTAGCCAAGTTCACAAAACCTCCCTGCTGAGCCCAACCCAAGAGGTTGACCTGCAGCTTACTCACCTGTGTGTAAGCTGCTAAATTTTGGGGTAGTATGTCATGCAGCAAAAGCTAATGGATACAGGTCTGCAAACCAGTTTAAAGTCTTAGAATCCGTGTGGTCAATATACAGGAGGGTGAAAAAAACTCTCCAGTAGCAACTAAAAATGGCATGTACAAGACTAGCTTGTAGCAGGGAGATGTGAACATGAGATCATATACATATATCTAACACTTAAAGAATATGCATCATTTTTAGGAATGCCTGGGACTTTTGCAAACCACAAAACAAGAATACACATTAGACCCCTAAGCAAGTTTCAACAAATACCAAAGAATCAACATATTCTGCAGACGACATTCTATGAATTAAATGCAATGAAATTTAAAGTAAATAATGTAGACGTAAGCAAAGAGGAGAACATAGTTTAGAAACTTAAAGATACACTTCCAAAACTAAAACAACATCATGGCCAGTTGTGGTGGTTCACGCCTGTAATCCCAGCACTTTGGTAGGCTGAGTTGGACAGATCATGTGAGTTCAGAAGTTCAAGATCAGCCTGGCCAACATGGCAAAACCCTGTCTCTAACAAAAACACAAAAAATTGGCCAGGCATGTTACCTGGCCTGGCACGGTGGCTCACACCTGTAATCCCAGCACTTTGGAAGGCTGAGGCGGGCAGATCACTAGGTCAAGAGATCAAGACCATCCTGACCAACATGGTAAAACTCCATCTCTACTAATACTACAAAAATTAGCTGGGCATGGTGGCTTGTGTCTGTACTCCCAGCTACTTGGGAGGCTGAGGCAGAGAATCACTTGAACCTGGGAGGTGGAAGTCACAGTGAGCCAAGATTGCAACACTGCACTCCACCAGCCTGCCGACAGAATGAGACTCCGTCTGAAAACAACAACAACAACACACACACACACACACACACACACACACACACACACACACACACAATTAGCCAGGCATGGTGGCATATACTTGCAGTCCCAGCTACTCTGAACCTGAGGTGGGAGGATCACCTGAGCCCAGGAAGGTGAGGCTACAGTGAGCCGAGATCGCACCACTGCACTCCATCCTGGGCGACAGAGCCATACCTTGTCTCAAGACAAACAAAACATCATGACTGGAAATAGAAAACATCCCTAAATCACAATGAAAACAACATTAAAACTTACGGGATGCAGCTGAAATTGCTTAAAGGGAAATTTATGGCTTTAAATGTATATAGTAGAAACAAAAAGACATTTAAAATTAATGATCTAAACATTCATATCAAGAAAACTAGAAACGATAATAGAGGCCGGGTGCGGTAGCTCACACCTATAATCCCAGCACTATGGGAGGCTGAGGCGGGCAGATCACTTAAGACCAGGAGTTCAAGACCAGCCCGGCCAACATGGTGAAACCCCATCTCTACTAAAAGTACAAGAAAATTAGCCAGGCATGGTGGCACACACCTGTAGTCCCAGCGACTCAGGAGACTGAAGCATAAGAATCACTTAAACCCGGGAGGCAGAGGTTGCAGTGAGCTGAGATCTTGCCACTGCACTCCAGCCTGGGCAACAGAGCAAGATTCAGTCTCAATTAAAAAAAAAAAAAAAAAAAAAGGAAAAACTAAACAAATTAGAGGAAAAGGAATCCCAACATTTAGGACAAACTGTATCCTCTTCTGAAATGGCCCAGCAGGAGCCTGTATCTGGGAGTTGGCACACTGGCCTCCCCTGAGACACACTCACCTGTGTGTAGTGGGTGCAGGTGGCGTTGTGGGCACACTCCCCTGCTGCGTGGCTGTACTGCTGCCCCTCTGCGAACCATAGGCCGACTACTTCAACAAAGGACACCGAGCCCTTGGGCAGCAGCTGCACATTCCAGCCCACTTGTGGGGTGTGCCATGGGGCAGATGCCAGGCTCGGGGCTGGGGTGCCACAGAGGGATGCCCTGGCTTGAGCCAGTCGGGCCAGGCTGTCACTCCAGTCCTGGGGGGGCACAAACAGAGACATCTGTCAGAGGCCTTTAACCACTGGGCCAGGCCTCAAAGATTTAACTCCCCTGATGTCTTGAGTATCCACTGGGGGCCAGGTGATGAGGCAAAGAGAGCACTGGATGAGGAGTCCTGCTGGAGGAAGCACTGATACTTGTGATGCATGACCAGGAGCCCAGCTCCTCTCAAGACTGAGCCTCCGTCTCCCGAGTCCTGTCGTGGGCACCCTTCGGCCCTGCCCAGGCAGTGGGATGGCTCCTGCTGTCTTTCTCCCATCTCCTCATGTGAGCAGTGCCCACGCCTTACAGACTGGCTCTGTGTTTGGACCCTGGCCATTGTCAGTAAGGCTCCACTGCTGCCACCCAGCCTTGCTGCCCTCCTGTGATGCAAAAAGCCCTGCAGCCGGCCAGGCACAGTGGCTCACGCCTGTAATCCCAGCACTTTGGGAGGCTGAGGCAGGTGGATCACAAGGTCAAGAGATCAAGACCATCCTGGCCAACATGGTGAAAACCCATCTCTATTAAAAATACAAAAATTAGCCAGGTGTGGTAGTGCATGCCTGTAATCCCAGTTACTCTGGAGGCTGAGGCAGGAGAACTGCTTGAACCTGGGAGGTGGAGGTTACAGTAGGCCAAGATGGTGCCAACTGCACTCCAGCCTGGGCAACAGAGCAAGACTACATCTCAAAAAAAAACAAAACAAAACCCTCCAGCCATGCAGCCATGCTTCTCTGCCCTGGTCTCCAGGCCCCCAGGAGCTGGCCTCACCTGCTCCTACCACACACAGCTGACCCCTGCCACTCTGTCGTTTTTATCTTTTTTTGAGATGAAGTCTCGCACTGTTGCCCAGGCTAGAGTATAGTAGAGTGATCTCAGCTCATTGCAACCTCCACCTCCCAGGTTCAAGTGATTCTCCTGCCTCAGCTTCCCAAGTATCTGGGATTACAGGCACGTGACATCATATCCGACTAATTTTTGTGGGTTTTTTTTGACGGAGTCTCACTCTGTTGCCCAGCCTGGAGTGCAATGGCACGATCTCAGCTCACTGCAACCTCCGCCTCCTGGGTACAAGTGATTTTCCTGCCTTAGCCTCCTGAGTAGCTGGGATTACAGGCATGCATTGCTACACCCAGCTATTTTTTTGTATTTTTAGTAGAGACGGGGTTTCATCATGTTGACCAGGCTGGTCTTGAACTTCTGGCCTCAGGTGATCTGCTTGTTTCAGCCTCCCAAAGTGCTGGGAAAAACAGGCATGAGCCACCTCGACCAGCCCCATCCCTCTTCTTAAACAAGGGACCTGGCAGTTGCCACCCCTGGGTGACCTGCCACAGTCCCCTAATCTCCCAAGACTCCCTGAGCTCATCTGTAAACGGAGCGGGGAGGTGCCTGCAGGATGGGACTCTCAAGCACTGAGTGGACGCAAGGAGGGAGGAGCCCCTCGGGCTGCACCCCAGCCAACTTTGCCCTGCACTAATAGCCATCGGGATTTTACCTCTGATGAAGGCTTGGGCCAGGGGCTGGAGGCTCCCTGGGATCCCTCAGCAGCCCCACACCTCCACAAGACCTTCAGTCTCCACTGTGTACAAAGAAGGGGTGCCCCAGAGTCCTAGAGACCTGGAGAGGTGCTCGGGGCCAGACCACGAGGGAGGCTGAGCCATGGGGCTTCACTTGTACCTTTATGGAAATGAAGTTTTCTAGGACTTTGACAAAAGGGCCCTGGAAATGGTACCAACTGCCAGCCAGCGACTACTACAGCCTGGGCTCCTAGGCAGGAGCACCCACCCCGAAGGTCACAGCTGGGAGCAGCCCTGGCTGCCTAGGTCTGAGGCTGAGGAGGGGCAGAGTTGCTCAGGGCAGGGAAAAGGGGGAGAATCGACTCCCCCACTTAGCCACCCCACCCCCACCTCCTGGGAAACTGACTCTGGAGTGCTCAAGGTCACCACCGTGGCTGCCAGCCTCGGAGGAGTTCATGGGAAGCAGCCATGGGGAACCCTCCCACCCCCACTGCCCTCTGTGGCTCCCTACCCTGCTTATGGGGCTGGGGCTGCTAGGGTTCCAGACAATGGATGGCAGCATTTCTGAGCCCCCAGATGACAGCCCCAACCCCGAAGCCCCAGCCGAGCTGGTGGGGAACATTATGCCCCCGATCCCTGGCTCTTGCTGAAAATGTGGACAAGTGAAGGGGCAGAGAACATGGGCAAGGCCTGTCCTAGTGGCCCAGATTAACTCAGGAGGCAGTGCTGGGTCCCTGCCACACAGAAGCCCCTCCCCGGCCCAGCAGGACCTTCTCCCTCCCTGGCCTGCGGGGCTCCTTATGAAGTTCCCCTTCCCTGGAAGAAGGGATATGGCTCCTCCTGTGGATCCTGGTCTCCGTGGCAACAAGATGCCAGGGAAGGCCTAAGGTCCTGCCCTTCAGGCGAGTGGGAGCTGTGGGGCCCGACCTCCTGAACTAAGGGTAGGGGTGTTAAGAAGCTAAGAAGCTGCAGAGACCCCCAGTAACCAGGGCCTCGGTCCCCCACGGGGGTAAGGAGCCCGGCTGTGCCTGCCCACCCTCGTCAGGTAGAAGGGCTCCTGGACAGGCATGGCCTCCCGACCCGCCCTGTGGGGTCCATGCCTCCGGCCGCCCCCCACCTAGCTAAGCCCAGCTCGGTAGGGTACTCACCAGCCTCCGCATGTCAGCTGCAGGGGGCTGGACTCGGCTGCGTAGACGGTTGTGCAGGGAGAGAAGCAAGAAACTCTCCTTCCTATTCAGGGCTGGGGTGGGGAGGGAAGGTCAGGCTGCCCGAGGATGGCAGGGACTTGGACCCAATGCTTTGCAAAAAAAGCATGCGTCCCTGCCCTTGGGAAACAAGATGGGAGAAGAGTGTGGTGGGTGTGGGACACAGGGGCATAGCGATGGAGGGAGGCTAAGAGAGAGACCAGGTAACAGCAGGCGTGGGCTGGGGTGGTGGGAGGGAACAGGGGGTGGGAGCTGGGTGTAGGGGGCAGCCCTGGCTTCGGGCAGGCCCCTGTCTGGACTCCTCTGGGCCACTGGGTTTCTCCAGGCTCCCACCAAAGCATCCCTCGGCCGTTTTCCCTTGACCCCAGCCCTGGCCCCCTTCCTCCTCCTTCCTCCCCAGTCCAGCATCCACACCTCACCACCCAGGACTGTCCCAGGGCTCCCTCTTCAAACCACCAGCGCAGCACCCGCTCCACAGAGCTCTCACTGGTGCCTCCGCCTCATCCTCACTAGGTGATCCTTACCTCCAGGCAGCAGAGCCTGCTCCTGCAGCTGGGGTGGCCACACCTCAGCCCAGGTGGTGCCAAGGAGGGCCAGGAGCACAGGCAGGAGGCTCCCTCGGCCAGGGGAGGGCTCCGGATGCAGCATGGGTCTGGTGGGCCTTTCAGGCGCTTTGAGCACAGCCTGGCTCAGCCTCCTGGCTTCCTTCTCAGGCTGGATGAAGCTACTCACAGTCTCCAGGAGTCAGGCTGGGCTGCTGGACAAAAGAGGGGGGCTGGTGAGTGAGTAATCAGTGTGTCCAAACAGCCTCCTGTCGGCACTGGCATGAAAAGTGACAGCTCCGGGGGGTGCCTGCCTGACCCGGCCTTGCCTGGCCATCCCGCCCCCGACAGCAGGAAGAGCCATACACACTGACCCCAAGGCCCCTGTTAATCATGGCAGGATTATTAGCGCCCTTGGGGAGCCCCCCAAGACCCCACTGATTGTCCCGCAGACATTCCAGGGCTGCAGATTAGTGACTGATGGCCGTGTCCTGGCTGGGACGCTGCCCTCCAAGCCCACTGATGGCTTCCACTCCGCAGCCCCAGGCCCTGGGAGCAGGCTAAGACCTCAGCTCTGGTCCTTCTGGTGAGCAGGAACTGGACAAGACCCCAGGGGAGTTCTTTCCTTACTTGGGAAGCTTGGCCCAACCCCCCAGCCATGAATTAAACATAGGCAAGAGGTAACTGCACACCAGAGAGGTGCAAACTATGGGCTTAGCCGGGGGGTGAGGCGTGGGCTGGGGCTGCACCTGTGGCAGGGAAAGGGTGCCTTCGGAATGTCTGTGCGGGCAGTGTCGGGGGCTGGGCCCAGCCCCAGTGCCCACCACCATCACTCACGTGACGGTCCAGGAGGGAGTGAGGCAGGAGGAGGCAGGGCAGGCGGGGACGAGAGCACGTGATGCCCTTGGCTAACTCTGGTCCTGCTGGGAGCTAGTCTGCTTCTAGACAAACGGGGCGGAGCAGGAGGGCAGCCTGTTGCCATGATGTTCTGTGGCCCGGTTGTGGCCGGCATGACCCCACCAGAGTGCGCTAGAGTGGACCTGCACCTCGGGCCACGTTTCTCAAAAAATACACAGCTGTCCTGCAGGCCATGGCCTGATGCCCATGTTCCTCTTGGGGCAGATCAAAGGTTATTCAACCATGCCAAAGGACAGCCTTGCAAACCAACTACATCCTCCTTCTGGAGTTTGTGAGACCCCCGACCCTCGAGCCTGCACATTCTCAGAGCGGGGTTCCAACTCTGTGGAAGCTCTGCTGAGATGCGGGTGGGCTTGGCTTTCCTAAGGAAACATCAGTGGAATGTGGCTATCGTCAAGGGTGCCAGGGATGGGCCCAGGCACACAGGCCATGAAGTGGCCTGGAACTGCATGTCTCCCACAGTACCTAGGGGTTCAGGAGTTTCTTCTTCCTAGACAGAAACCCAGCATCCTCAGGGTCACCACATGTGGGTCCTAGCAATGCTTAATAACAGCTACCTGGTTTTTGGTGTTTGCTTTTTTTTTTTTTTTTTAAAGAGTTTCACTCTGTCATCCAGGCTGGAGTGTTATAATCTTAGCTCATTGCAGCCTTGACCCTTGGGCTCAAGCGATGGTCCCACCTCAGTCTCCCAAGCAGCCATGATCAGATGTGCGCCACCACACCTGGCTAATTTTTTTTTTTTTTTTTTTTTTGTAGAAACAGGGTTCTGTCGTGTTGTCCAGGCTGATCTCCAACTCCTGGGCTCAAGTGATCTTCCCACCTTAGCCTCCCAAAGTGCTGGGATTATAGGTGTGAGCCACCATGCCTGGCCAAGCCACCTGTGTTTATAGAGCCCACAAAGCCTGTTTGCGTGTGTGAGTTCAAGTTATTGCCACAAGAACCCGGTGTAGTAGCAGATGGGACACCCATCATGTGAATAATGAAGCGGGCTCAGTGTGTCTAAGGCGCTTGTCCAAGGTCACTCAGCAAGTGTGTGGAACGGCCCCACTAATCCAAGGTTTCTGCCTTCCATTCCCAGTGCTTTAATTCACATCCGGATCTTTCCCAGTTTGCTTTCCACAGCTCTGCTGTACTGGGTGATAAAAGACCACTTCCTGCTCTTGGGTGTCCATGGCAAACATGGCCAGGTGCTTGGGACAGGTGGGAGGAAAATATATTTTGGGGATTAGAGTGGAGCAACTTTTGAAGGGTTCCATGGCCCTGGCTAACTCCAAGAAGAGTCCTCGGCAAGGCGTGGTGGCTCACGCCTATAATCCCAGCAATTTGGAAGGCGAAGGCAGGCGGATCACTTGAGGTCAGGAGTTTGAGACCAGCCTGGCCAACATGGTGAAACCCTGTCTCTATTAAAAACACAAAAAATTAGCTGGGCGTGGTGGCGGGTGCCTGTAGTCCCAGCTACTCAGGAGGCTGTGGCAGGAGAACTGCTTGAATCTGGGAGGTGGAGATTGCAGTGAGCCAAAATGGCAACACTGCACTCCAGCCTGGGCAAGAGAGGGAGACTCTGTCCCCACAAAAAAAAAAGTCCTAAGAGAGCTGGATTCATGAACCAGAAGAGAAGCTGAGTGGATAAACGATTAACAAGACACTGGAAGGCACAGTCTGGAACCGACACACTGTGTGACCCTGAGAATGACACTCCCACCCCTGAGACTCGGTATCCAAAGGTGAAGAGCTGGGACGGCCTCTCTTCTGGGCCCCTAACCTGGGCATTGCAACTTGGTATCCATGGTATTTCCTACTGGGTCTAGACATTTTCTTTTCTTTTCTTTTTTTTTTTTTTTTTTTTTTTTTTGAGACGGAGTCTCACTCTGTCGCCCAAGCTGGAGTGCAGTGGTGAGATCTTGGCACACTGCAACCTCTGCCTCCCGGGTTCAAGCATTTTCCTGCCTCTGTCTACCGAGTAGCTTGGACTACAGGTATGTGCCACCACACCTGGCTAATTTTTTGTATATATAATATATATACTTTTAGTAGAGACTGTTTCACTGTGTTAGCCAGGATGGTCTTTATCTCCTCACCTTGTGATCCCTCAGCCTTGGCCTCCCAAAGTGCTGGGATTACAGGCAGGAGCCACTGTACCTGGCTGGATCTAGACTTTTTACTGGTGCCTGCTCGGTGGCTGGAGTGGGTTTGGAGAATGGGCAACCTCATTCTTGCAAGGCAGCTTTTCCCAGGTGAGGCTACTGCAGGGTTTACATCTACCACCCAGGTTGCAGGGTTCACATTTTGCTGTATTTTCTTTATCACCTGTGCTTCCATCTATTCCACCCTGGTCTAGCTCATGCAGAGCTGACACCTCTTCCCTCAGTCTGCATTTGAAGGCTATACCATTCAATCCATTTTCTTTCTTCCTGAAGCATGAAATCTTGATGGTCTCTGAAAAATAAAATAACATTCAACTCCTAAATCTTTAAAGCCATGAAATCTTGATGGTCTCCGAAAAATAAAATAACATTCAACTCTAGGAGAGTCATGGTCACATATTCTTCTAAAAATTGCATGTCCAGGCATCCAGGCCAGGCATGGGAGCTCAGACCTATAAACCCAGCACTTTGGGAGGCCAAGGTGGGAGGACTGCTTGAGCTCAGGAGTTTGAGACCAGCCTGGGCAGTATAGTGAAACCCTGTCTCTAAAAAAAAATACAAGAAATTAGCTGGGCGTGGTAGCACTGGGTCCACAGTCCCACCTACCTGGGAGGCTGAGGTGGGAGGACAGCCTGAGTCTGGGAGGTCGAGGCTGCAAGGAGCTGTGATCATGCCACTACATTCCAGCCTGAGTCACAGAACAAGATTCTGTATCAAGAAAAAAAAAAAAATAGGCCAGGTGCAGTGGCTCACGCCTGTAATCCCAGGACTTTGGGAGGCTTAGGTGGGCGGATCACCAGAAGTCAGGAGTTTGAGACCAGCCTGGCCAACATGTCGAAATCCTGTCTCTACTCAAAATACAAAAGTTAAGTGGATATGGTGGCACCCGCCTGTAATGCCAGCTACTTGGGAGGCTGAGGCATGAGAATCACTTGAGCCCAGGAGACAGAAGTTGCAGTGAGCCGAGATTGCTCCACAGCACTCCAGCCTGGAGTCTCATTCAACAGAATGAGATTCTGTCTCAAAAGAAAAAAAATTATATGTCTATTTAATTTTTTAATTTTTCTTGAGACAAAGTCTGGCTCTGTTGCCCAGCTGAAGTGCAGTGGCACAATCTAGGTTCACTGCGACCTGTGCTTCCAGGCCTTTGACCTCCACATCCCAGGCTCAAGACATCCTCCTACCTCAGCCTCCTGAGTAGCTGGACTATGGGTGTGCGCCACCACGTCCGGTTAATTTTTGTATTTTTCGTAGAGATGGGGTTTCACCATGTTGCCCAGGCTGCTCTCAAAGCTCAAGTCGGCCGAGGCGGGTGGATCACGAGGTCAAGAGATCAAGACCATCCTGGTCAACATGGTGAAACCCCGTCTCTACTAAAAATACAAAAAATTAGCTGGGCATGGTGGCGCGTGCCTGTAATCCCAGCTACTCAGGAGGCTGAGGCAGGAGAATTGCCTGGGCCTGGGAGGTGGAGGCTGAGGTGAGCCGAGATCGTGCCATTGCACTCCAGCCTGGGTAACAAGAGCGAAACTCCGTCTCAAAAAAAAGCTCAAGTCATCTGCTGGGATTAGGCGTAGGGCACCACACCCAGCTCCAGATTAATATACCAAAGTCCTAGCTCCATTACCTCAGTGTCTCTGTGTTTAGAGACAGGGTCTTTAAAGAGGTAATTAAAGTTAAATGAGGTCACTGGGGTGGGTCCGATCCAATCTGACTGGTTTTATACAAAGAGACACACAGAAGGAAGATCCTGTGAAGACACAGCAAGAAAGCGGCTATAAACAAGCCAAGGAGAGAGGTCCTCAGAGGAAACCAACCTCCCCACCCCCAACACCTTGATCTTGGCCTTTAAGCTTCCAGAACTCTGAGAAAATACATTTCTGTTGTTTAAGCCACCCAGTGTGTGGTACCTTGTATGGTGGCCCTAGCAAACGAATATAGCCCTTATGAAAAACATACAGCCGCCCAGCACCATGGTTCACACCAATAATCCCAGCATTTGGGAGGCCGAGGTGTGCAGATCACCTGAGGCTGAGAGTTTGAGACCAGACTGACCAACATGCAGAAACCCCATCTTTACTAAAAATACAAAATTAGCTGGGTGTGGTGGCGCATGCCTGTAAACTCAGCTACTCAGGAGGCTGAGGCAGGAGAATCACTTAAACCCGGGAGACAGAGGATGCGGTGAGCTGAGGTCGCACCACTGCACTCCAGCCTGGTCAACAAGAGCTAAACTCCACCTTAAAAAGAAAACCGTAAAGCTAACATCAAACTTAACAATGAGACTAAAGACTTTCTCCCTAAGATCAGAAACAAGGCAAGGATGTCTTTTCTCCCCAGTCCCACTAAACATTGTTGAATGTGCAATTTGTGCGATAAGGTAAGAAAAATACACTAAAGGCATCCATACTGAAAAGAAAGAAGTAAAACGATCTTCATTTGCAGATGACGTAATTCTACTGTAGAAGACCTGAAGGAATGTTTTTAAAAAACCCAACTAGAATAAAGGTCCCAGAATGCAAA